GGTTTCAAAAACAATAGAATGCCCTTAGATTTGAAATCAGAGGGATTATCGTACTATCGATGAAACACGCAAGTGTCGAATATATTGGAATGGATGTTTGGGTGTCGGTAACTTGTATATAAACTTTATTTACTTTACAATAAATGCGAAACAAGATATTTCAACTTTTACCAATCACTCTTGTTGATCCGGGTGTAAGCGCGCGAGGGGCCTTATTGTTGGAGGAAACCGGAGTACCCGGGGAAAACCGGGCATGCGACCTTTTCACGTCCGTTCTGGGAATCGAACCCCGCACAGCTACGTGAAAGGCGAGTGCGTTACCACTGCGCCATCCGACCACCCTTGTTGACTTTTATAAGATATTAACAGAAATGTTGATGTTTTCTTTCTTTAAATATTGCACGACCTTAAGTTAAAAATATCACAGTTTTTTGTTATATATTTCAGAGATGCATTTTGATATTTTAATACCCCCTCCTTAGAAAAATATACACTGGAACAGGAAACATCACTCCAATCACTCTCCTTTGCTTGTAGCCTCTTTGTAGTATTGGCAATGAGCCATTGACATATCTTCTACTTCATCTCGTTCAGAAACATCACTTTCACACCTCTTCACATTCGGCAGTTCTAGAGGTCAAACTGACCTATACCGCTGACCACGTGAACGCCACATGAACCAGCGATAACCTTTACGCTGCCTTGTCGTTTTGTAGTAGGCCCCATCTTTTCTTTTGTCCAAGATCGCCATCATCTGGGAACCAGAGACGTCAGATTAATGTGGGCGTGTCTCATGTTGGTGACGTAAACGATTTCTCGCTGTTAAACTGATATGCTCTGATACCGATCAGTCAATAAGCGAAAAATTAGAAGAAGAAAAAAGAACCAGAATAAAAAAAAAGAATATATAGCACCATCGAGTTTTACAAATGAGTAATTGATAACAGAATGGGCCCGTAAGGTTTTTCTCTCTTTATTTTGCTTGGCGATTTTCCTAAGATAATGTCATGTGCTTTCGCACCATCCTCTTCTTCATAATATATGACTCTGCGAGCTAGCGGTGCGCGACTCCTAGCTTGCAGCACATCTTAACAACTCTGGCTATTTTCATGGATTTTGTAGCTTCGGGATTTTCCTAATTTTGCATTTGTTATCGTATTGCTTTGAAACGAATGGATGACACAGTTTTAATCAACCTGTATGTAAAATGCAGCAGACCATAATGTGTTTGTAACTGGATTTATTTCCCTGAAGAAGAGTTTTACAAATTATGTGCCATACTCGTCGGCTAAATGGTACACCAAACGGAACTATATACTACAACATCAAAAATGCACGGCTTCAAAGTCCCACAGGTCCAATACTATCAGACAACATCAGGTAAGTTACTGAGGCTGATATACAGTGTACCGTTGTGAGCATATCCCAGGCAATTTACAGTCTAAACTCACCTCTTGTTAGCGACAAGTATCCAATTAACAACCTCTTTCACTCTGACTACGTAATGTTTCTGTGTTGATTTTGCCGGTTATATATCTTTACATATGTGATATATCTTTTTGTCTGAATTGTAATTAATTAAAAACCGTTCTATTTCTGTAAATTGTTTTATTCCTATTATGGTTTTCTCACGAAATAATCAAAAGATGATTGATTATCGAATTTCTTCGACTTGGCATTTGTAAATGAAATAAACTGTATGCATGTTATGAGGGTTATCAACATCGTTTGGACGAATTTACTGATTAATAAATATTCAAATCTCTTAAAACATTTTTTGGCATCAACGTGATGTGATAACATTTATGAATGATACTCTCTTAAATAAAAGAATAATATTAATTTGTAGATTTCAAGAAGTCGAAAGTTCACCACAAAAAGTATAAAGTCTTCTTTAAATTGAGTTTTTAAGAAAGACATTGTAATTAAAATCATTTAATTTTTGTCTTACTATTCCCGGTTATAGCAATATATAGCTTCAAAGACTTTTAGAAAATTGTTTATAAATACAACTGGTTATTGTTTAGAAGAAAAGCGTAATTCTGAACGCTTACATATATGTCTATCATATGTATAATTAAAACGTGCGTGTATTCTAAATACCCGGTAATCAGATTCATATCACTGTTAAGGAATTTGTAAGTATATGATTAGACTGGCATTAGTACCTCTTACGGACCAGCTTAATCAAAATTCTCAGTTATTGCATGTACGCTGAAATTAGAAACTCGGCGTTCAAAATGTTATATTTCAAAGTGAAAGTAAAGAATATTCGGAATAATTTTGAATGTCTTCAGAGACAATAAACATACATACCTGTTGTGTTTGATGTGAAAAAAATAAATAAAAAATAACAATAAATTAAAATTTATTTGTATTTAGATTGCTGGATATGTTATCTATTACCTTTATCCAAAAAATATTATTCTTTAATAATCAGTTAGATATTAAGATTTAAATCAAGTACACGTTTAGTATGATTCTGTATTCGATCCATTGCTGAAGGAATATTTGTCATTCTATTACTCTTGTTGTTAATATTATAACATTGTAAGTCGAAGACACACGCTTCTCTATTCACTTTTCAATTATTTTATTTTTCAAAAATATTGAACATTTTCTTGAATGTCAAGAGTAAAAGAAATAGTACCGTCAGTAGGCACGTTTTTCTTTACTCTAGTATAATACTTTGAATGGATCAGTTGAAACACAAGAAATTCTGTAGACTTTATGATGCACCTGTTTTCGTTCACTGGTTGAGTAACATGTTTTATTCAATAATGGATTTATATTTATTATACATAATGAATTACATTTGAAGGATTAAGAATACAATTCAATTAATAAACAAAGTTATCACTTTCGAAAAACTGCCAATGCCTTAAGTAACCTAAATGACATTATATTGATTGAGCGAAAATCTATGTTTCTAATTCAGAAAATGCCATTCTAAATAACACGAAATAACTTAAGCATTCTTTCAATACTTCCATGTCTTTAAATAAAAATCAACCACTGTAAAACTTATGAATATATCCCTTACTTTTTAAACTTTTTTTTCTAATGTCCTCATTGGCAGAATGAGATCTATATCCAGACATATCATTTCCAACTGGTCAAAACGATCCGATTACCATTTCTACTTCCAAACAATACATTTTGTTTAATAAAACCAGGTTTATCAAATTAACCACAGCTTTTCAATTTTCATATTTCTAAAAGTAAAAAAATGACGGAAATTTTGAATATGGAATTTTAAAACAAGTTGTATAATTTCTTTTAAATCGGCGATTGTTTAAGGCACTTGCTTACGTATAATGATAATAACTGTCCTCATTTGTTCAAACTAACACGCTACGTACCACACAAACATTCGCATAGCTTGCTCCTGAACAGGATACTTGCTTGCAAATGATCAACGACTTCAAAAATATTCTTAAAATAACAGAGTAGGTTCTAATTAATTCATCTTCGATTGTTTGTTTCTAAAACTGTACAAAAGACACAGACGTGGAAAGCATCTTTCTATACACATTTCGTGTTAGATGAAGCAGAACAAAAATGAACTGTATCATTCAACTGCTTCGTTCTCCTGTTGATGCCGAGATCCTAAATTTTGAAATATAGGAGGCGAATTGAGAAAATCAAAATTGAGCTGGAATGATATGAAAATTTAGACAAGAAGGTGCACTACCCCAAGGATTCAATGGATTTCGTAATTTCCATTCCTTGCCCCACCTGATGACTTGATTAAAGCGTCAAGCAGGTCAAAGCAATGACATGAAGTTAGAAAATATCTCGATACAGTTATTCAGAGGAGTAATATGCTTCATTTTGTTGTTCATTAATTGATGGACTACTAGTCTAGACCAACCAAGGGAAATTGATTTCGGTACTAAGTTTAATGAAACACAAATATTTGTACATCTGGAGCTGAAACAGGGAGCGCCATTATTTTTGTTTACATGAGCAGAATATTAACTCTAGTCAGTGTGTTAGAAACACCATCTTCACTTGATAAATTTTGATTAATGACCGTACTAATTTTGATATCACGTGATGTAAATAAGTACAGATTTGCAAATCTGTGTTAGATTTTGGCCTTCTGTATCAAACTCCACATTTGTATTGAAAAGGTGTGTAGTTCACTTATATGTCTTTTATACAATCTTCGAGACTGCAGGTAGTAAACGCTGCTGGTGGACTTTTAAACGCCACTCATTCGTTCAGAATAAATTCGTCAGAAATATGAACATAACAAAATCTTTAACGAAGGAGTTAATGGCCTTCTCCCTCTAGATATTGTCTTCTCTTTCCATCCCTTTGGATTTTCCTCAGTCGCCTCCTAGGTTAAAGAAATTATATCCTTAGCAACAATGACAAGCCCTAGAAGGACGAAACGGATATATATATATATGGCTATACTGTGTCTCTAAAATTGTAATAAGGGGTGTTATCCATTTGTGTGTTTTTTGTGTAATCTTCTCTGAAAGTTAAAATTAATTGATTTCCAGATTTGGAATTTAAGCTGTTTTTAATTCGTTTTCCAGAATAAAACATTTTTATGCAACATCAATTAACTTTTATGATTGGTTAAAAATGAATGTCCAGCAAACCGAATGATTTCAATTTCCTGAAATATGTTTAAATCTCCATTAACAAAAAAAGTTCACGGGAGAATTGCGGCGATAGAAATGTGAAGAATTTGCATGCTTTTTACAACAATAAAAAGTTTGCATTGCGGAGGCCAAGGATAGTTCATGGCCTTCAGGCCTAGAAATGTTAACCCTCTGCGATCTCTTGTTCATAGTCATTATGTTCAGCAAAGATACAATTACAGTCCAGTAGCGCATGAAATGAGGCCGGAACCCAGGGCATTTGAATGGCAGGCTGACCCTGCGGATGAAAGGTACTGACCTACCTTAGTCATAGTGCGGACACACTGCCCAGTCATGATGTGAGGGGCAGTGGTTGCATTTCAAATAAACGTGTTTGTCACCATGAAGGAGTTTACGAGTACCCATGCTCCTCAGTCGTATGCAAACCTGCCAAATCTAATGACCAAAGGTGTTTCTTGGACTCAAACTTCTCAAAATTCTGGACCGTATATGATTCTTGGTCAACCAGTCCTCCCCACCTATGGAACTGGTGGTAAGTGGCATTTCAGTGTGAAGTCTCAATGATATTTTATTTGCATAGAGATTAGTAATATCTGAAACAGCTATCATATTTCAGTCTTACAATGTTTAATGATGTTACCAGATGACAACATATGACCTATCTGATACCAATCTAACAACACTTTTATTGTAAAGTTGACTTCAGTCTGTACGTTATGGCTAGACTAGTGGTCACTGATGGTCAGATCATCAGTAACAAATCCCATCAGACACACTGACTTGTATTTGTGTTTGAGAACCGAACACCTGTGGAGATAGATGGACATAACAACATATGTCAGATGTGTAGTGGTCACGGGAAGGTAGCTGTTTATCTATCTGTTCATTCTAGATCCTGTTTTTGTAATACTCAAACGCATTTTCACACTACCAGGTCTTGTAGTAGTTGTTTGTGTTTATTACAAACATTTACAAGACGTGTGTTAGTTAATACACTTCCTGGAAATGTAATATTTTTGTGTTTACTACAAACACTTACAAGACGTGTGTTAGTCAACACACTTGCAGAATATGAAGTAGTTTTGTGTTTATTACAAAGACTTACAAGACGTGTGTTATTTAATACACTTCCTGGATATGTAATATTTTTGTGTTTATTACAAACACTTACAAGACGTGTGTTAGTCAACACACTTGCAGAATATGAAGTAGTTTTGTGTTTATTACAAAGACTTACAAGACGTGTGTTATTTAACACACTTCCTGTATATGTAATATTTTTGGGTTCATTACAAACACTTACAAGACGTGTGTTAGTTAACACACTTCCTGGATATGTAATATTTTTATGTTTATTACAAACAATTACAAGACGTGTGTAAGTTAACACACTTCCAGAATATGAAGTAGTTTTGTGTTTATTGTGTCCATAACTTTTCAGGGCACTGATATTGAGCTAGTAGCCTTCAGGGGTTAACGACTACTCACGTTTATTAAATTGAAAGACCTTGACCCTCATTTAAGGTGACAAGGAACAAATATGTGAAAATCTTAGGATAATTAATTCTCATCATCTACGATCTTGACATAGGACCAGTAGGAAGCTAGGCTTCCATGTTTTTACACTTGTCCCATCTTCAATGTTTCAAGAAGTTGAAGTGGTTTGTTTTCAATAACCAAATATGAGCAAAGGAAATATTTACACGGAGACTACTGAAAAAAGAACAAGGAGAGTTAGACCAAATGATCCAGCAAAGTAAGCGTATTTTGCTTCATCGACTTCACCCGCCATGTAATGCCACGTTCGCAAGTGAAAGCAAGGTATGCAACAACGGAAGCAATGGGCAAACTAACGAGAATAACAAATCGTCCAACTTTATATCACACAAAGAAAAATAGTATTTGCAAGGACATCACTATAACGACTGTAAACATTTTCCATAATTGTAATCAACATGTATCTTTTGAAACCCTGTGTTACGAGTTTGTTCGTCAGTTGACGAGTTCTTGTATGAAAATGGTGATAATCGAATCAACTGCGATATGTAAACATCAGAAACTGATGTGCATGGTCGCAGCTAACCAGAAATGGTATATACACAGTAAGGACACTGGAATCATCAGCTTGGTGGAAATATGTCAATGTTGGTTTCGTTGTAGGGAAAGATCGTGATTAGCAGCTGATATAGAAGAGCCTGTCGTGTCTTTGATTTCCATTTCTGTTTGTGACCTGTTTTGATACACTAGTAAGAAAAAAAGTTTAGCGAAACAACGAATCTCATGGAATACATTGTCTCATCGGATACGATTTGATAGTATAAGTCCACATCCAGCAGATCTATTTCCAGTAATATCAAAGACAATATTATTGAAAACAGTTGTTCCGTATAACATGCATTGTATATAATTAGTTCTCCTGCAATTAATTTTCACCTTCGATAGGATACTGTAAACCAGTGTATTGACATGTCCTTTATAGTCTTTATTTCAAACAGGTTTTTAGCCATAAACCTCCGTTGTAGATATGTAATATATGAACCTGGTACAACAATATTTTGTTGTAAATAAGTGTCTGATAAGAGTCAGTTTAGAATCTTCTTTCAATGAAACAAATGTCAATGATCTCAATTGGTACCATTCTAATACACTTATCGGTGTCCAATTCAATCTTTAGGTTCATGTAAGTGTCCTCATCAAGGACCAAGGAATTGCTAGCAGTGGAACCTGACACATCAGAATTCCCTCTTTGGAGCTTATGGGAATGCCATCATGGGGGTCCATGCTAATGCCCTCAATGGGGACACGTAAATTCCCTCCTCGGTGCTCATGTCAATGCGCTAAGTGGGATACATGTAAATGCCTTCGTTGGGGGTCTATATATTTGGTCTTAGTTCGGCCAATGTTTATCTTAGGGACCAATACTTATACTCTCAAAGTGGTCCATGCCAAATCCCTGAGTTGAGCAAATGTTAATTTGCCGACTTGTATTGGTTTATTTAAATGAATTGTTTGAAATTATTTGAATTGGATGAAAAGTGATTGTGATAAGTTCAGATATGTTATATTGAACATTGATGTATATGTTAACAAAATAACTGACGAAAGAAGAGAATAAACCGAAACATAAAGGAAGGCAAAGCGAAGGCCGAAGAAACAAAACAACGTGAATGAACTAATGGTAAAACAGGAGAGAAAAGCTCAAATTGAGGAAACATATGTTTGAAAATGAAAATATATTACTTCTTACTGAAAATCGTCATGATTATGCCAAAACTACACTTTTCTTCCTTCAAGCACTTCGTAAAACCGTGAGATTTGGACCTACCGTAAAACTAATGATTGAAAATATTCTTAACATTATGTTTTTTAACAGCGTATGAAGATATGAACGTATTTGATTTTCCTTATTATTGATGGACACTGTTTAATGAAATAAAATAATATGAAATGATTATTTTATGATTAAGACAGAAGGAACGTTGTATATATTATATCCTAAGTGACTGACAGTTAATACCGACATCGTCAATAAATAAACATAAAAACAATTCAATGACGAGAGACAAAAGTTTTTATTTAAAGTCGCATGTGGTTAACAATAAAATATTAGCATTGTAGTGCTATTATTGCGCCAAACATAAGTATAATACATTGCATTATATACATAACAAACACAACTTATGTAATGAAAAAATATCACAGACACATTGAGTTATCTCAGAGTTACATGATTAATAATGGGCACTTGTATATCACACAAATGTCACACAAGAAAAATTAAAACACTATCAAAGTGTAATCAACATATATATTATATATCAATGACATACAAAAAATTATAAGAATATCTTTCATTATACAATATAGCATGAACATTGTATTCAATAAACATAATGTACATTCATATCTATCAAATATTTTAACAAATATTTATCTTGTAAAGTTAATCTCTAAAAATCAAACAAACTGAAATAAAGCTTTATTAATTTATTTTTATCATGTAAAGTTATCTCTAAAAATCAAACAAACTGAAATAAAGCTTTATTAATTTATATTTATCTTGTAAAGTTAATCTCTAAAAATCAAACAAACTGAAGTAAAGCTTTATTAATTTATATTTATCATGTAAAGTTAATCTCTAAAAATCAAACAAACTGAAATAAAGCTTTATTAATTTTTCTTAAAACTTTATTTACGTTTAAGGCCTTGTAAAAATGAAAATTAAAAAAAATGATATGGAGTTTGTTGGTTTTATAAGTAACGCGAATATCATGTTTTCATCAATAAAATGTGAACTAGTGAACTGACAATAGATGGCGTTTTGTTTCTGTATTGATTTAGTGAGACTGCTGTCATATAGAAAACACTTAATGTGTTAGGGATCTACATTATTTGCGTTACATGGTATATTCATGACTACCATGGGAAATTATAAAGGATATTACATACCTATTGAATGGCCAGTGTTTAGACGCCGTTGGATCTATTGCCTCTCGTCCATTACACTAATGCATTGGTCAACTCACTAAGCTCTTGGCTGACCATGTAATAAAAAAGTTATTATTTGAACAGAAATATTTCTCCGGCAAACTTTTATATAAATGGATGAACTGGATTTCATTAGTCATTCTTAGAAAGGTATTGTTTTCACAACAACTTGTACTTCATGTTCAGTTTATTTCTTTATTCTTTTCAATTTTCATTTTTTTTTCGTCCAAACTTTTGTATTTTGGAAACATGATTAATCGAGTGCCGTTTGCCTAGAATATAAACTTAGTTATTGTAATGTACGATCACAAAATATGGTCATTTTGTTTTTCAACAACTGCCTACATTGTGGTACGGTTTTTAAAAGAAAAGACTATGACTAAGTTGGCAAGAACGTCCTTTGCTCGTTTCTGTGTTTTATCAATGTCTTGTTCACCTTTCGCCTTGTCGTATTTTATATATTGACAAAATGGAACTAATGTTGTGTTGTCTTTAAACTTATTTGGTTTGTCCGCGTTGTGGTCAACCTTGTTCACTGTCGTCGATTTCAAAGCGGTTTTGTCGAAATTTCAAAGAAGCATTAACCTTCGTGCTGCTGGTTGACAATAGTAATTCCTGCGATTGCGTATACAGATTTCAACCAGTGAACGTGTTTCTTTGATGGGGAAAACGTTGTAAGTTAACTGCTACAAATATGTTATATGAAATAACAATCCTTGTATCGGATATGTATGGAACCTGGTAGGGTACCTGAGTCTATAAAGCACAATTAAGTCGGAAACAGTTGATTTTATACAACAAAGCAAAATTTACATAAATCGTGAAGTGAAATTATCACGAAGTTGCGAATACCTTTTTCTTTTGTATTTCACCTTAAATATAATTAAATTCTTGGTGAAAGATATTGATAATTCCTGACAGATGCTATGGCTGACCACTTATTTCTAAGAGATAATTTTTGAAAGGATAAGGCACGTGCTGGTGACTCATGCTGTTGGTAGATCCACCTATAGGCGAGGAACATGACACTGATATGTTAAAGGG